GAAGAGTTGAACAAACATCAGTTACTTCAACTGTTAATCCTGCACACACGCTTAAAAACAAATACTTATCAGACAATCGCTGGCCTCAATTTCTTTTTTATATTTCATAAGCTTTGATTTTATATCCTGATTTTATCAGGGATGTGGATGTTTTCAAGAGTCAAAACATCTTAGACTGCGAGCAATCTCGTTTTTCTTTGCCCAGTTACTGCAGGCGAAACGTGTGAAACGAGCCGTGTGAAACGAGGGCATTAAAGCCCGAGAAGAAAAATAAGAGACTGCTGACTCTTTTGTTCTGTCTGGGGACAACGAAGGTGTGGTGAGGAGAGAGGAGATGGCTGTATTCACTGACAAAGTTAATTAAAACACTAATGTGTGACACAAGTAATGCATGTTTACAGTCGTGACTGCATGAAATCTTATTTACATTCAATCGAATATTCAATTTGTGTGCAATGAGCAAAGGCCATTGATAAGCAATAGAAAATTACAAAACAGCTTAAATTACCACTGAAGTTTAAAGCTTATTGAAGCTTTCGCTCGGACAACAAGCGGCGTAACATGCTTGGAAAATTATGTATAAAAATGTAAAAACCGAGCACTGCAGTAAAACCTGAATAAACTTACATTAATTTCCAGACTTTGCTAACACTCATATATTACTGAAAACTTGACCTGCACTAGGCTCAGATCAGGCTCTACTTTCATTTTCCTGGGTAAATAGATTCCAGGCCAGCAAGGCAGATCAAAAAGTCTCCCATTTTTAATAATTAATGGTACAGTACTTGTCTACCTGAATTACCTGTGCTTGCGAATCGAATGTAATAATGATTGTTGCATCACATGCACGTGCATTCACTTGATTACCATGATATCAGATGGACTTTAAACTCAACACCAGGGCCTTCGCAGCCACGTACCATGCATAATATATAGATTTAGCCAGGGCGAAAAGCGAAGCTCCCATTAATAAATTTATATTTTAAATCAAACAATAAACTTGTAATCCACAAATCAGTTAACTTAAGGGCACATTCATGTGACTTTTGAGTGAAAGGATAAGTTATTTTAGAGTGAAACATCTTACATCGAGTTGATAGCAAAAATATATGTACACCCAAAAAAGAGCAAACATCTTCTATCACATTCAAGAGCCATAATGGCTCTTGATCACAGTAGATTAGGCCTCGAAAACAAATTCTTGGAAAACAAATCAGGCCGCATTTTTTTGCGTTCTACAGGTTTACTTTACAAATTCTTGCAAACAAATCTGAGGGTGTGTAAACCAGCTTTTTGTACTTTTTATACATCACATCTGAGGTGAAACAGTACTTTTTATCATACAGACCTCGGACAGAATACGGCATTTCACAATTTTTGAATATTCAGGACGATCAATCGTGCGCTTTTAGCGAAACCGTTCAAGAAATTTCTAAAATCACCCATACGGCCAGCCGGTTCTCATTTTTAGTGCGAGCTGTCAGCGTGATCGAGTGTTTGAATGAACTTTAATGGACATACGCTTCAACATAATAACGAATTTATTATCATTATTTTTTGTTATTTAATGGTTCCAGTTATAACGATGTGTAATCTTATAAAGCGTTTGATACGCGCGACATTTCTAAGTACTCCTGCGATGTTCATGAACGATGAAAACAAACACCACGGACAAGCAATTAAAATTGCAAGAGAGACTACTAACAATCAATAAAAGAAATATAATTCGGTAAAACATTTACAGAGACAACAATTTTCATTCACGAAGACAAGTATTAAAGTGTCTCTAAAAATCCTGAGTCTTTAAGCTTAAAGCTTAAGCTTAAGTTTATTTTGGTTTACTTTCAGCTGGTCTCCCGGTGTTTGTTTTTTTTTTCAAAGATGAACTCCTGGAAACAAGAAAATCACTCAAAGTTTTCTTTCTACAGCCAAATTTATAACTAAATATTCTTCGGAACGTTTTTTTTCTATTTGCCTTGAGAAAATATATCTGAAGGCCTTTTAAAGTTCTGTAAGCTTATATCAAACCTGATACTAGATCAGATCATTGACTCAAATCTCAACAAACATGCAAAAACTTGCCGCATAAACTGTGCTCGACTTCATCAAATTAGATATAACAAAAACAAACATTAAATATAATAATTACTCAGGCTTACCATTGGAGATTCAGTTCCTGAAAGATATCAAGGAAGGCCATAGTTGCTTGAGACTTTTAAACCCTCTTACGCATTGAGCAAAGTGAAAGACGAAAATGATGCCATCCGAAATCGGATTACCCAGTTTTGACAAGCGACGCATTTCTCAACTAAAAACCCAATAAACAAAAACCAGCCATGGATAACAGAAGACTCTTGATAGCAGCTGTATTTCATTTTGTACATCCGGTGGAAAAAGACAGTTAAAAACATCACAAGTTGACACAAAACTCTGTCAGCTTTTGCTGTCAAAGTAAACGACTTTCAAGATGCTGCATAAGTTTTCCGCATGAACTCACCTGTCAAATTTTGACCAATCAGAGTACAAAAATTGGACGTAGAGCATGACCAACGCATGACCATGGTAAGAAAAGTCTTCCCCGCCATTATTTTTAAAAAAGTGGCTGAATTTTCGCATCCGAGGTCAGTTTGAAATCAAAATCTTGACAGTGCGGGGCCATAGTGACATAAACACAACATATTTCATATGAATCATTGGAAAAAATAGACTTGAGCCTGCGATCATTTGAAACTGGTAATTTGTCAGCGGATAACTTCAAAAAAGTAGTCGACCTCGATGGGTCGACACTTGAGCCCGCGGTACGGTCAGGTGATACTGGTCAGCGGATATCCTGTTTTGACAGCTGTCAATTGATCACAACATTGATGTGCAGTTAGTTTTCTATTGGGCTCCCAAACTAGCTAGAAAGCGTGAGAGAAAACATTGGTTT